CCAGTGTGCCTGTAGTTTTCTCTATTTCTGTTTTATCACGGGATAGAAAGCCTAAGGCCTTCTCAAGCCGTACGGCTGACTCATCTAATCTGCGGCCTGTTATGCATCAAACTAATATTGCTGTTGAGACAAAATGCAATGCCATCGAGTTAACATTTTTAAACATTCGCTCACTTAAAAATACATCATTTCTAATCAATGACTTAATAACCACAAACAACCTGGATTTTATGTTTCTAAATGAAACATGGCTAGAAGACAGCTGCAGTGCAACGGTCCTCAATGAAACAATGAAAAAGCCCCTCCTAACTTCACTTTCATGAGTGTTTGCAGGACTGTTAGGAGAGGTGGAGGTGTAGCTGCTCTATTTACAGATGTCTATCAATGCAAGCAAGTGTCATTTGGTCATTTGAATATCTAGGGATTGTGTTGAAAGGTGCTCCACGCATTCTGTTTATCATTATTTACAGGCCTCCAAAGTACTCTCCAGCCTTTGTTGAAGAGTTCACAGAAATGCTATCAATGATTTCCTCAGAGTTTGACTGTTTTGCTATTGCAGGGAATTTTAATATTCACATAGATAATGCAGAAAACAAAACTACACAAGAAATTATAACTGTTTTAAACATTTTGACCTGATCCAGCATGTGCATGAACCCACACACAATCGGGGACATACTCTAGATTTACTCATCAGTAGGGGTCTAAACATTTCATCCATTGTTGTTAAGGACGTAGCACTATCTGATCACTTTTGTATTTTCTTTGATATATTGATCTCTGCTACCACTGAATCTAGATCATCTAGATCGGTCTCAGTCAGAAAGAGATGCATTAACGAAAACACTAGTGTGCTATTTATGGAGGCTATATCTTTAACACCAAGCATTTCTGCAGACTCTGTTGATCTTCTCTTTGATTCCTTTAACTCAAAAGTTAAGAATGTTATTGATGATATTGCTCCTATAAAAGTCAGTAAGAAGTCTGGCAGACAGAAATCAGCTTGGAGAAAATCGACAGCAGTTAAGAGTATGAAAAGACAATTCAGAGAAGCTGAGCGGATGTGTCAGAAGACGAAACTTGAAATCCACTATAGCATATATAAATACAGCCTTCGTGCTTTCAATGTGGAACTAGGCAAAGCTAGACAGTCATTCTTCTCAAACCTTATAAACAGTAACTTAAACGACACTCGCATTCTTTTTGCTACTGTTGAGAGACTGACAAACCCCCCAAGTCAGATTGCCAGTGAAATGCTCTCCGACAGCAAATGCAATGAGTTTGCTTCCTTCTTTTCTGAGAAGATCAATAATATCAGGAAGGCGATTAGCACATCCCCAAATTATGCAGAGGTCAGACAGATTTAACCACAATACCAAAAAAAAGATACTATGTCTGCTTTTGAAGAAATTGATAGAAACATTTTGGAAGAAATAGTACAGAACCTTAAATCGAAACTTTTCAATATCGGGAAAAAAATAACTTCTCAACACCAGCTTATCCTTTAGTATTGCCAAGAAAATAATTGATCTGGAGTATATAAATCCTTATCAACCATTTTTGCAACATCAGACCATTGCTCATCGTCATCTCTTAAACCATCGTCAGTGCACTGTGACAAATCCTCCATTTCATCAACCATATTTTCCTCTGAACCACCTGCCTCTCCTGTAACAATACCCTCACACACATCTTCAGTATCACTTTGAGCTTCATGTTCATCAACATCATCACATACACTCACATCAGTTGACATTACCACGTCAATAGCAGTACTGCAGCCAGGTTTTTCCACATTGCCAATATTAACATTAAGCTCCCTCACCTCCTGCTGCCCTTTCACTTCATCTGTGACTCCTTTGATCCGCTCTTGAGATCTCAGTGTTTCTGTGTTATTTGTCTCGGCTCTAGATGTGGATGCTTTTTGTTGATTTTTATGTGGGCGTTAGTTCTGGAGGGGGGAGGGGAATTATTTTATATTTTAAAAAAATGTTATATATCTTGTTAGGCCACGGGTTTAAATCGCCTTTTGCGGGGGAAAGGTGGGGATTATTGCACCCATTACGAACATTAACCATTGTTTTGATACGAAAAACATAGTTTAGATTGTATTTGTGTGCTTATATAAATGTTAGACAATACGCAAAAGCATGATTTTACTATAATAAAACCAGTTTTTTTTGTCATATTGATTAGCCGGGTTTGTGTCAAAGTGCTTCACAGAGAAATGAAGTCAAATAAAAAAAGGTAAGTAGCTTTAAATGAATAAATGATTAACGTTAACC